GCGGTGCGGTTGGGCCGGCCCCGGCCCGCGCCCCGCAGCCAGAGGGAGAAGATGGCGGCAGCGGCGGGCCGGTGCCCCGTCGCCCCGGCGGTGGGGGGGGCACGGGCCGGCGGGGAGGGTGCTCGTCCCGGGGCCGGGAAGGAAAGAAGCCCTGGGAAGGGGGGGAGGGCTGGAGGCGCGGGAGCCGTAGCGAGACTCGGGGGACGGCTCGGTGCAGGCGGCTGTGAGGGAGGGCAAGGGGGGCTGGCGGTGGCCTTGCGGTCGGCCGCAGGCCGCACCCGCTCCGCGCCTGGCAGCTGGAGCCGAGCGGGGAGGATCGCGTTTGAGCAGCCGGTCAGCGGAGCGGGAGCGCCGGGGCAGGGAGCGGCGGTGGTGCTGGGGGGGCTGCGGGGAACGGGGGTCCTGCCCTGGGGCACTGGCTTCGCTCCAGGCGCTGGCGGAAGGAGGAGGTGTTTGCTGTGCTTTAATTAGTCGTTCCTTGGCTGTGAGACCTCAACTTTCTGATTTTTCTCAACTTACTGCCTCCCTGCTTGCCTAGAAAACGGTGTTTCTGTAAAAGGCTGCTTCCTTCTTGGCTCCTGATCTGTGGCCAGTGACATTCAAGAGTTCAGTACTTTGGGAGTCTTTAAGGCTTTAACAAAACACGTTTACTGCTTGGGTTGATTTTTAGAATGGAAAATATGAAATCAGTCTTAGCCTGTCTGACCAACTGTTGTTTTTGAAGGTTTATCGCTGCTGATAACCATGAACGTTTTATATCCTTGCACGTGTCCAGTTTCTTCTGACCGTTTCCATAGCTTATAATTTTTTTCTTTTGACTAATTGCCCATTTTTGTCACGTATTGCAGAAGAGCTATATGTTTCTGAACGAGAGGGCAATGATTCCACTGGTGATGGGACACAAAAGAAACCATTCAAGACCGTTTTAAAGGTAACTGTGGTAAACACCTGCTGTTCGTTTTGAAGAGTGAGCTGCGTGTTAGGTCAAGGGATTGGCCTTGTATTTCTGAATGCAAATTTTATACCTGTTTTTGCAACTCTGACCAGAAGGATCAGAAGTAGGATGTCTGCTCGGTCTCTTTAAGGATGACTTTAGTTCACTTGCAGTGCCATTGATTCTGTTATTTTCTCCCCCTTTTTAGGCTTTGATGACAGCAGGAAAGGAACCGTTTCCTACTATTTATGTGGATTCGCAAAAAGAAAATGAGGTGCTGTAGCATTAGAGCTTCCTAGTAGAAATTATTTTAATGCCCCTTTGTGTGAAGGGACACAAATGTAATCTTTTGTCTTCTGCTCTCTCCTTGGATTGATGCAGAGGTGGACCATTATTTCAAAGTCACAGATGAAAAATGTCAAAAAACTGTGGCACAGGGAACAAATGAAGAATGAAGCTAAGGAGAAGAAGGAGGTAGGTTGCAGATGATGGCAAGTTGGAGGAAGCATGCCACCTTTCTTTTCCAAAAACATTGAACAGCATTGTTGTCGTTTCCGCCCCTCCGAAAAAGCTTCAGTTTGTTCTTCATGTCTGTCATTGTTTTACACAATGTTGTTCACAACTTGCCTTTGCTTAGATTAGGACAAGCAAATGGTTGAAGCTGGGTGAGTTTTGAATAATTGCAATCTATTGCCTTTAGACTTTCCAGAAAAAATGTGAAATGCATATGCAAGTGTACATTATAGTCCCCAGTAATTGTAAAGAGTGGGAATCCTACAAAGCCTGGTTACAGCTGTTTAATATTTTTTTTTTTTTTTTAAACCAGGCAGAAGATCTCTTGAGAAGAGAGAAGAACCTGGAGGAAGCTAAGAAGGTTGTTATCAAGAATGATCCTAGTCTTCCAGAGCCAAAATGTGTGAGTAAGATCCAGTGTGCTTGATACATGGCCTGTATTACAGCGTCTTGTCTGCACAAAGATTTGAGTCTGTCTCTGCTTTGTGGCTCTGGCAGCTGTTGAAGGCCACTGTCTCGTTACTGTCCATAAATGTAACTTTGTTTTTCTGATTATCTGTGTCCTCTAGTATGTAGACTTTGGTCTTTCTCATACACTTGATGGGTGCCTGATCCTTCTTAGCTCACATATCAGGCTTCTCTCTGTCTGTTTCTCTACTGATAGAGAGCATATTTCTGTTGGAAAAAAATCATTAGTTTTGCTTTGATTATTGTAGTGGTGGAGAGTGAAGAAATAGTGCTGGTTAGAGGATGTAATTTAAGTTATTGAGACATGGAATGCAGTTCTTATTTAGCTGTTTGTAGAGTCCTGCTGGATTTGGTGATTTGGTGCAGTCCTTAGCTTCGTAAGCAGGTATTATGTGTGCTGCTCTGTGATGGGTTTTTGGATAGACCCTGTGTAGAAGAGGTTTCTACATACATGTGTAGAACATGGTTTTGATTGGAGCCCTGCACTCCCCTGGCTGCTCTTTGAGAAAGGGTCAGCTGGGCACAGCTGTGCTGAAATCACAGTCTCTTCTAGACTGGTGCACTGTAGCAGTCCTTAATTGCCTGAGGCGTGGTCCATTTTGAAGGTGACTGCTGGGTTAATTGTTCTGACTATAGCAGTGTCAGTACCTCAGCTACGTGTCTAGGTGTGCCTATATCAGATCGAGGTATTTTAGCCTCCCTCTGCTTCTTTGACTGCTAACTGAACTCATCCACTGAATGTCTTTAGAAATTAATCCAGAGTGCATTCAGAGCACCAGCATCCTTTCCAAGTCTTTTGGTGATTTAATGTGCCTTGTATTTCCAGTAGTACCTGAGTCCTCTACTCTTAAAGTGTGAGCTATTACATGTTTTCACTTCTCCTTTTGGTCAAATGCAAAGTCAGCTTCCTTAAAAACTATTACAGTCCTTAGTTTCTGCATGGCAAAGTAAGCCTGCTGAATAGAAAGGACACAATATGAAGTCTGGAAACGCTGTCCCAATGTACTGCCTGTCCTGGCTAAAATACTCTTTCTTTACTAAACAGCTGTTTCATATTGACAGCTGTGCTTGTGCCCTGGATGGAACTTCACTTCAAAGTGCTGCTGGGAGGAGCCATTTTGGGGAGGGAGACATCATATACATTTGTATTCTAAGTAATTATGTGGAAAACACCATCTGAATGGTGACTCATTTCTCTGTTTGATTGCTTTTATTCCCTGCTTTACAGGTAAAGATTGATGCTCTGGAGGCTTACAGAGGCCAGAGAGTGAAGATTTTTGGCTGGATTCACAGATTACGGAGGCAAGGTAAACCACAAGCATTTAGAAGTTATTGAACTTGTGCAGAGAGATGGAACAAATGCAGTAGCCTTCAAAATTTGGACACTTACAATGACTCAGACAGCACCTATTCTTAAATTTTTCAACCATCAGTTAGATGTCCTCTTTGGTTTATCACAGTGGTCACTACAACACTGAAAATTCTGCGTGATGAATGAGTATATAGACATTTCTTAGTTGAAATCTTACAGGATTTTCAATTTGGAGGTCAGTCCTGCAGAATTTCTTCAAAATACTTGTTTTGTGTTTTAAACTAATCCTGCAAATTGAGGAGCTAACTAGCACCTGCTCATAATGAAATCAGCAAATTAGAATTTTAAAGTTATATGTAGTAGCATAACGTCTTTTAAGATAAGTTTAGTAAGTAGTACTTGCTATCAAAATGATTGGTATTCTGATTAGCAAGGTGGCTTCAGTTGGGGCATGGAAGTGGACGGCAGAGGTGGTTCGGACTCCACAGGTATTTGTTCAAGTTATCACTGAAGGACTTGATGAAGCAGTTGTGGATCTGGATATCATGAACTGTTTCTAGCATATTATTTTTGTAATTACATGCTTTTTTGGAGAGATGGGTGACCAGGGTGACATCAATTTACCCGTGTTAGGTGTGCCTTGGGCCTGTTCATACAGCATTTCTGCAAACAGACTTGTAGTCCCTCAGGACCAGAGGGAAATCTGAGGTCATGGCATGGCTGTGCAATCCCAACCCTGTTGAGGTTGGAGCAGGCTTTGCTCTTGATGTCTAGTGAAACTTATTTTAACTTGTTATACAAAATACGGCTCTGTGACAGGCTTCTATAACTGCTAATACTTCAGTGCTTACCTGGAGCATCTTTGTTAAAATGGAAGAATGGGATCACAGTCCTTCTGTAATAATCTGCACATCAGTGATTAATATGTCTTGCGAGTGGGTCTGTTCAAATGGATTGGTGAATAAAGCTGAGGTGCTCTAATTTTTTTTCTTCTCTTTTTATCTAGGAAAAAATTTGATGTTCGTTGTTTTGAGAGATGGCACAGGTTTTCTTCAGTGTGTCCTTTCAGATGAACTGGTAAGCTGTGGTGATTTCATTCTGTTCTGTCATTAAACAAGTGTTCATACCTCATGTGTTTTTTCTTTTATATAGACGATTGGAAGTTCTCCTAAACCTACTGATTAAGTTGTGTTACTGTTAAATTGTGTCTCCTACCACTACGGTTTTTTTGTCAATGTAAGAACTGTTTAGAAGTGACTGTGAGTTAATCTTGTCTGTAACTCCAGTAGATGTTGTAGGAAAACTAAAAATAAAAAAATATCCTTAACTGTGCCTTTGTCTCTTTTTCTCTTTGTAGTGTCAGTGTTACAACGGGCTAATTCTCTCTACGGAGAGCAGTGTTGCAGTGTATGGTACGCTGAACCTTGTTCCTGAAGGCAAGCAGGTATGGGAGTTAGTGTGTTTGGGTTCTCCTCTTCAACAGTTTGTCGTTTTCCAGATGGAAGGAGAAGCAGAGGTGGAAATAATTATTAGACGATTTTGGTGGGACTTTGGTTTAAAGAGAACAACAAATCTCCCGAAGCTGCTGCTGTCAGCCACAGTTCAGTGTGTGACAGGTGAACTACATGACTGTTCTGCTTTTGCCTGAAGCAATACTCTACTGATATGTCCCATAGATATTACCTAGAATATAACAGTGGAAAATTATGCTAAATAAATGACATAGCTTTATTTTCCCTAAAAAGACGTTTATTCAGTTTTTATTTTGTGAGGTTAAGAATTTGGGATTTGCTGTCTTCTTTTACTGAGATGGGTTTGTAGGCTCTTTGTTGTGTTGTATTTGTCCTCCAGCACTTGGCAGGTGTATGAACTAAGCAGTTTACTATAACTTGTTTTGTAAAATTTTATTTATAATGGTGGTCTCAGATTAATGACTGGGCAGGTGTGATTTTAGGTCTCAGAATACGATGATGCTTATGCCTTGTGCCTCTCTCATTCCAGTCTAGATCTACACACTGTTACTGTTTGGAAAATTATTTGAATCTGGAGTTAGGGCTAAAGCTGTGTTAAGCAGGTATGCCTGAACAATGGCCCATGAAAAGGATTCAGACTGAAGGCAGGAGAGAAGCTTTTAGGAACCATTATATGTGACAGCAGCTCAATGCACTCATCAGGATATGCAGGCCTATATCAGGATATTTACTGAAAATTATTGTAAGAATTTAGTCTTAGTTATTAGGAGGTGTGTTGCAAAACTTGTGATGCAGAAACAGCAAGCAAGCTCAGGCCACCATTTGTTCTATTTGAATTTGTAAGTAGTCCTTTTTAAGACATGAGCTCCTGATAGCTGTTTATAGTAATGTACTTTTTTTTTTTCTGAAGGAGAAAGCAAAGCAGTAATGTCGAGATTTAGAGGACAGATGTATGTTTAATCTTGCTAGTCTGTAAGCTTACCTCTTCCTTTAGATTTATATTCAAAATTGTCATCAACTCTTGCAATGAGAGTTGTTCTTTTGTGTGGATTGGCAATCAACATCCTCCTGTCTGGTCTCTTGAGTAAGTGTACTAACTCTAGTAAGATAACAGAGAGAAGAAATATGTCTGGGGGAAAAACAAATCATATTTTGGAGTGTTATATTGCTTCAAACTGTTTCCAAGATGTACTAGACAGTATTTGAGCTAAGTAGTCCCTCACTGTGGCTGCCTGTAGCGTGTAAAATAAGGTCAAAGTGTTAACCTTTTGTGGTACTTTGTAGATAATTCAGTTTTCTTGTAAGCCATGTACTGTTGGCCATTACTGACATGTTTTTCAAATGAAATTTGGATAGACTTAATTGTTCTGGTTGTCCCTGCCACTCAGGTCCTATCCCCAAGAGATTGACCTAAGGTTAGAGAGCCAAGCTCAGTTAAATGTGAGTCCACTCCCTGTGGTGTTTGCCAATCAGAAGTTAGCAAGATTTCCTTTCCTTCATAGCTTACAGTACTGGGACTTCTAAAAATAAATGCAGCCAAACAGGGTTCACTTTTTTTTTAAACAACTTTATGCAATTTGGTAATCATAAGTAACTCATAGCATGTTACTACTCATAATGTTTCGGACATTGAAAACACTTCACGTTTTCATGTCTCATCACAACGATGCAATGCTTTTAGTGGACAAAACCACCAGATTTGTAAAAATCTCTTGATTAGACTTTGAAAAACTGCATTTATACCCTGAAAACACTGTGAATGAAAAAAATACCTTTTTAGGGAACAGAAGCTTTCTGTGACCCACATGGGGGAGCTGGTGAGACCAGAAATGAAGAGGTCTGTTCTGTAGCCTGGGCAGCTGGACAGGGCTGAGCCCTGGTGCGGGGTCCTCTGCTTGCCGTATGGCAGCACATAGGACAGGGGAGATTAGCCAGCATGAAACTTGCTATTTTCACATTGTGGTGAGATGCTACCTAGTGCAGAAAGATTGCTCAGATGTCTCTGACAGACGGACTCAAAAGTACCCATAGTGAGCTAGTTCTTCCTCTGTTGTGATCTAAGCAAGTTTTTTCAACTTTTTTGAAGTCTGCCAGTAGGAGAATGTGGCTCAAATAGTATAAAGAACAAAATACCTTGAATGTCGTACTGGAGTCTTGGGTCTGCATTTTCTTCTAATAGATGAGAGGACTTTTCGCTCTCTGTGTGCATGTAGCGTTCTTAAGGCATACAAGAAGGTTCTTTGTGCCAGTGTGTTGTGTTGTAGCACCATACAAATTGCTATGAAGAAAATTAACTCCATCCCAGCTAAAACTAGTACACAGTGTAAGTTACCACAGAATGGTTTGGTTTGGTTGGGAGGAACCTCTGAAGGTCATCTGGTCCACCCTTGTCTTGAAGAAGATGTAATATGAGGTCAGGTTGCCAAGGGTCGTGTCCAAATGTGCTTCTGAACGTCTCCAAGAATGGAGACTACAGTCTGGCTTGGTCTATGGTCTAGCATTTCACCACCCTGTGAAGAATTCTTTTCTTTATAGCCAATTGAAATCTCCCTTGGTGCAACTTGAGACATTTGTCCTTTTGCTGAACACATCCAAAAAGAGTCTGGTTCCATCTTCTCTATAACCACCCATTAAATATTTGAAGGTAGTAGGTAGTTTCCCCCTTCTTAGCCTTCTGTTCTTCCAGCTGAATAAACCCAGCTGTCTGTGATATACTTAAACTGAATGCATCTGGATGCTTCCACTTATCTGACTGGAGTACTCAATCCCATTCGCGTTAAGTCTGAGAGACTTGAGGTGGGTTACAAATGGCACTTCTGAGTGTGGTATAACTGAGTTACAAAGCAGTCAGTTTGAAAATACCGCAATTGGGATTTTTAGCATCTTTTGTTCAAACTGGATTAACATCTCTGCCACAGTGCTGGATGGTGACATCTAAGGGGCAAAACATGGACTTCTGAAATTTTTGTTTCTCTTCAAATTGGCAGGCTCCAGGAGGCCATGAGCTGAACTGTGACTACTGGGAGCTTATTGGTCTGGCCCCAGCAGGAGGGGCTGACAATCTACTCAATGAGGATTCAGAGGTTGATGTGCAACTTAACAACAGGCATATGATGATTCGAGGCGAGAATATGTCCAAAATCTTCAAGGTGCGCTCCATGGTAGTACAGGCCTTCAGGGATCATTTCTTTGCCAATGGATATTATGAAGTAAGTATGTTTTTCCCTTGTCAGCAAGTGACTACTATAATGTCCTAACTTCAAGACTATCTTTTTCCTGGAAAAACTGTGTAGACTTTCTAGTTGACCTGAAAGGGGCAAAAGAAAAGCTGTTTCTTAGGAAACTATTATTTGATCACTTTCATAGACATAGATCTCAGAGGTGTGTAGACACTCCTGAGGCATCTAGGTGTTACAGCGTGGTTCACAAACAGCCTGCATACCTGTTTTTGATGTGCTGAAAGATACCAGACTGAAGTACTTGTATGTGTGCAATCAAAAGCTTTGTGGGTGGTGGTCTGGAAAAGCATGCCTTGCATCACTGCTCTTATGTGTTGTCATCTTTGTCCTTAATTCCTCACTCAAGTAATGACAATCTTGTTCTTTAACAGGTCACACCACCAACTTTAGTCCAGACACAGGTGGAAGGAGGCTCAACCCTCTTCAAACTGGATTATTTTGGTGAAGAGGCATACTTAACACAATCATCCCAGCTCTATCTGGAGACGTGTATTCCAGCGTTAGGAGATGTTTTCTGTATTGCTCAGTCATACAGAGCTGAGCAATCCAGGACCCGCAGACACCTGGCAGAGTATGGAGAGAGTATACTTCTTTGCTGTTTATTTATAAGTGAATTTATAAAGCAGGGGAGTAGCAGGCAGTTGGATGACATAATGTACAGTGAGCAGACAGTATAATGCTAATGCAGAAGGACTGAGCAAAAGTGTATTTGAGGGTAATGCCTTGTCTTGGTGAATGTCCAGCTGGTCATAGTACGTTGATATTTAGTGAAGGAAGATTGAGGCAAAACAGAGCTAATACATTTTGAGGAAGCTTTGTCTTTTTAGAAAATGCAGTTCATATTGTTGTCTCCCCCCCCCCCCCCTTTTTTTTTTGTGGCTTTATTTCCTTTACAGTGTAGAAGTGGGAGAAAGGGAAAAGGGGACAAAAGTGTGTGGTTTTGGGTTGTGGGGTTGATTTTTTTTCATGAGATTTTTTTTCATAGCTAAAGATTTGTTGCTTGTGTGTGGTTTTGTAATGGTGTGACTTTGTGTTTCAGATACACTCACATTGAAGCTGAATGTCCTTTTATAAGTTTTGAGGATTTGTTGGACCGTTTGGAGAGCTTGGTTTGTGATGTAGTAGACAGAGTCTTGAAATCACCTGCATCAAGCTTACTCTATGACCTAAACCCGGTAGGCAGCTATGTGGAACAGTCATGAATAGCCAAGAAAATATGATCTTTAGCCTTTCCTGATCAGCATGTTCATTTGAGGAAGCCAGGGCATGGCAGTGAGCTCTGCTTGCTTACTAATATTAATAAGAAGAAGAATATTAAATAACATTGCAAGAGTGAAAATGCTATAAGGCTGGTAATGACTTTTCCAGAAGCAGGGGACTGTGGGGGAAGAAGTTCCCTGCTAGCAAGTTCCAGGAGCCAGCAATGTGCTGGGATTTATTGCAATGTGTACTGTACCAGTGGAATAAAACCCTCTATCCCAGAGCTCGTAATATTGATCGGCTGGTACTTGCAGATTGAGCACAAGGGAGCAATGAAACAACTGGTGTTTTACTTTCCACACTGGAACATGGAGCTCTAAAGCTATTTTCATTTGTTAGAGACTCTTTGTCTTCTGTTGGCTTTGCAAAGAAGATGGCTTTAAGAGACTGCGAACTTTATCTCCATCACTAGCTTTTCTCTCAGACCACATACAAACTCAGTCATCCCTGTTATTTTGACCTGTTTTCCTGATAAACACTGGGAGGTTCAGTTTTAAATTTGGGCTGAGACAGGGGTCAGGAGGTAGGAAATAGCAGAAGCACAACCCACCTCACAGGGGCGGGTTCTGAAGCTGTTCTGTGCATAGGGAAGCAAAAATATTCTTTTGTGGCCTTGCCCATGGAACCTCTGCTAATGGCTCAGTTTAAAACACCTATATGTGAGATTAATTCCTACAGAAAAGGAAACAGCTTTGAAAATACTTCCTCTCTTTTTTCTCCTGCCAACTTTTCAGCATCTGTTCTGTGAGCTTCACTGGGCTTGGAAGATGGTTGTGTTCGGTTATAGCTTTTCAGTACTGAGCTTGATTTTGTTTGTTTATTTATTAAGTAATAATTTGTTGATGTATGACCTGGAAGGAGTAGTGTGTATGCTTGAAGTCTGGAGGTGGACTGGCTGATCAACTAGAAAAGTATTCTTTACAAATGGTACCCGTCCAACTGTCTTTATGTCTACCCTTACTTGCAGGGCTTCAAGCCCCCTAAACGTCCTTTCCGACGAATGAACTATACTGAAGCCATTGAGTGGTTAAAGGAACATGATGTGAAGAAGGAAGATGGCACTTATTATGAGTTTGGAGAAGTAAGTCTTTTTGAGGCTCTTCAGGAATTAAAAACAAACAAAATCCCACTGCCCTGCACTCAGGGTGTTTAAGTCTCTTGAAAAACAGTGTGTTTGGACCATGATGCTATTGGGCTTACCATTGCTGTGTGAATCTGTTGTGTTTTGTTTCAAATTATATTGATGAGAAGTGAAATTCTAGTCGCATTTAAGTTAAAGGGAGTTCTGCTATAAACGTCAGTGAGGCCTTGTTTTTTGTCTGGACTGTGCTGGGAGGTGTAATAATGTAATAATGGGGAATGCAAGTGTGGGTTGGGTTTTCACATAATGTCTTTGAACATTGGAATCAAAATCTGTGTTGTCATCTATCCATCTGTTCCCTGTCTTGCTCTCCTCCAACATGTAAGAAAAAATTATTTGAAGGAGCTCAAGAGGACTTGACAGTGTAGCCATAGTCATCAAAGGATTTAAAAGAAGTGAGATTTTTAGGAGGTGATCATATAATTGTTTAACTTCAAAGTCTACACAGCATATTCCGAGGGAACCTTGACAGCTCAAAATCAGACGTGTTGGGTTTTTTGCTGTTACTGTTTTTCCTATCTGTATCAAAGATGATAGAGATGATGAAGGGAAAGAAAGGCCTTCAAGTTGCACTGAACTTAAGGTTCCAGAGGGAAATAAGGATTCTTGCCTCCTCTCCCCTGTTGCAGGCTGACATTTGCTGTGTGAGCTGCCTTTGTGCAAGGCTTATGTTCTTTGTGCTTTCCTTGCTGCGCATGCTATAGTTGGCTCCTTCTGCCCTGCTTCCACAGCAGTCAGTGCTGGAATGCAGTGTGCACTTGGATTAAAACAAGTAACAGGTGTGGCTGTTTTCTCCTATTAAAGAAAAATCTAATCTTCTGACTTTAACTGAGAACCTAAGGGAAGTGTGATACCATTGGCTGAATAAAAGTTCAAATTAAACCTTTTAGGGATAGAGTGTTTTGACTAAACGAAGTCTGTTCCTTTAACAAGTTATGATCACATCATCACTGATGTTCCCTGTTGGTCACTGTAACAGTGGTGTAACTGGAGTCATCCTTCACTTCTCAGTTTTAAACAGTAAAACTGCTGAATTGATCAAAATGAAACTTCTGCTAGGTGTTTCACAGTTTATCAAATTTCAGTCAGAAAACTTAATAAAAAACAAATAACCTGATCTATGTAACTGATCAGTTGAGGTTTTTAAAGAAATAGTCCATATACATAACAAGGAAACCCTTAAACTTCTTGGTCTTAAGGTTTGTGGAAAATGGTATTGGGGAGGAAGGAGATTAGGCTCTTCAGTGTTAACTGGTTCTTTGGAAAGTCTACATTATAGCTTAGGTTTTCCTCAGTTTTCTATCTGAAACATTGGGAAGACTTGAATTGTAATTGAACAGATTCCCCCCTGATATATATGCTTTTATATAGAAATATAGTTTCTTCTAAGAGAAGCTGGGTTTAAAAATTCAGGTATATTAGGATGAATGTGTGGATACATGTGGTCTGAAACTGTCTTTGTTTCATGCCTGATACATGTGGGACTCCAATAACTTGAGTGGTTTTGGTTTTAAATATTAATAAAGCCTTCTTTAACGTTAGGATATTCCTGAAGCTCCTGAGAGACTGATGACAGACACCATTAATGAACCAATCTTGTTGTGCCGATTTCCTGCAGAGATAAAGTCTTTCTATATGCAACGCTGTCATGATGATTCCCGCCTTACTGAATCTGTAAGTTGGTGTTTTACATAGTGTTGCAGGCTTCTAAATAGAGTGGGGAATGTCCCTGTGAGTGAGCGTAAAATGAATAAGTACCACAGGAAAATCTTGGAGAATTCTTACCAGGTTTTGTTTTGGGTGTCTCTTGGCATGGCTTGTTGATCCTATAGAAATAAACAAAGCAACTCTGAAGTGCTAATAAAATGTCAGTAGGTCATAGTGAGCATGCTCTTCACTGACCTCAGGTAAGTGCTAGTCTAATGACAATACTTCTGTTGCTTCTTGGAGACTGTATTCTCTAAACACTAGCTGTCTGGCAGCTGGGAAGAGTGGTGGTTGTTAGGAATGCTGCTGGGTTTGTGGTGTAGTGGTGGTTGTTTTGGTTTGGTTTGTGGGTTTGTGTTTTTGTTTTGGTTTTGTTGGTTTTGGTTTTTTTTTTACAGTTCAGTGCAACCAAGAGTATTAGAGATTAAGTTAGAGAACCTAGTCAGTTAGTTTATTCCATCTATAAATTGGGTCTGTCATGGAGCATTAAAATTACATGGCAGAATGTGTTCTGGAAATATGCTTTTAAGTTTGGGCTGTTTTTCCTTCCCCTCATGCAGGCAGCTTAATTGTAATAATTTGGTCTTACGCTGTGTGTTGTAGGTTGATGTGTTGATGCCTAATGTTGGTGAAATTGTTGGAGGCTCTATGCGTATCTGGGACAGTGAGGAGCTACTCGAAGGCTATAAGAGAGAGGGCATTGATCCCACACCGTACTACTGGTATACTGATCAGGTTTGTAAAACAGATTAGATGTACTGCTTGTCATACATGATATTTTGATTTTTTTTGTAAAGTCTTCTGCAATGTTTATTGTTAGATAAAGAGAGGTTGGCCTTCACAGACTTGAATGGCTAAGCTCTAACTAGCATAAGGGGAGGAGGAAAGGAGGTGGTTGAAAAAGAATCATTAAGACTTTCTTTTTCACCTTCGTTTTTCCTCTTCTAGTCCTTACACTGCCCCAGGAAACTCAGGACAGCTAAGCACACATATCTTGCCTGAAAAGAGTATAGTCCATTTTCCTCATCATTCAGAAAGTAATCTTGGAAGGGTTTGGTGGGGTTTTTTTTCTGGTGGTAGTACTACAACTATAATATAAATAACAAGAAAATGTTTAATATCTACTCTGATTTTAATTTCACAGAGAAAATATGGTACGTGCCCTCATGGTGGATATGGTTTGGGATTAGAACGGTTCCTAACCTGGATTCTGAATAGACACCATATCCGAGATGTCTGCCTCTATCCACGCTTTGTCCAGCGCTGCAAACCTTAGCCATCCTTGTGATAAACCCTTAGAAAACTGAGCAACTGATGCTTGGAAAAAAACAATACACTCTGCTGTGCTACAGCCCCTCTGAGAACAAGATTTACTGCAACCTGTTGCTAATACAAATACTAATTTAGGGCATGAAAAGGAAAATAAACAAAACCCCTTTTTAAAGGAAAATGCTACTAATTAACTGGAAGAAGCCTGAGGAAAAATTGTGAGGTGCATTTATGCTCTCAAGTCAACGTAAAATAAAGATCCTGATAAGCTGTCATTTAAAAAACAAGACACACTTCTGCTTTTAATTTTTGTGACTTAAAAGAAAATATGCTGGGCATTGATGTTGTGGGTTTTTTTTTTAATTTGCTTTAATTTTAATCTGTTTTCTCTTGTGGTTTCTTGTTGGAAAAATCAAGAGTTCAAGCTCTTTAAATTCCCAAATACTGATCTCTCAGAATGGTATGAAGAGACATCATCTAAAGAGCTCAACTAAGTATAAAAATGGGAATAATCATGTTAAGCGCTGCACTTTTTTAGCTCCTACTGGTTTTAATGGAAGTTCTGTTTGAGTTCGAGTCGCAAGGTATGTAGTACTGAGCACAGAATTCCACTGCAAGAGACGTGGGTTGTTTTGGGTTTGGTTTGTTTTTTCCCCCAGATTATTTATTGGTTAGAAATGATGAGGCTCAGGGTGGCTTTGCTACTTTTTACCGATACCGGTGGATGAAGCGCTATAGTGGGTCCATGCACACCCAGCCTATGCGGAATTACAGTAGGAAGGGACATGTTGTCAGAGCAGTGTCTGTTAGCTTGTGGACACTGGGATGTTTGTGGTGTCTTCCAAATTAAGATTCTGCAATCTGTTTCAAACCAGAAGTGACTCACTGAAGACCCAAAGCAACTGGTACCTTTGAAATACAATTGGATTTCAGCATTGTGTGCTGACTGAATTGCTGTGCTCTCTAGGTGAGTTGTAGTCCAAGCAGTGCTGTCCCACGTCATGCTAAAGTATGTTTTCATAGTAGAGCAGTTCCATGTTGCCTAGCTGGCTCCATGTTTTCTTATGCTACTGTGTCTGGGCAGATTCTCTGGCTGTAATCAAGTTATCAAATAGGATTAATTAAATATTTAATGTGTTGAGTCATCTGTATGCTTTTTAGTCTTAAATAACGTAATTCCTTTTACTAGAGAGAAAAAAAAAATTGGTAGGTGCATCATTTGCTGCCTCCACTGAGACTTGATCTGGATTTGCCATTCATAGAATTGTTGAGCTGTGCGATACCCATATTTTTGTAATAAATGACTGGTTTCTTCATCTTGCATGTTACATATATAAACTGGTCTAAATCAGCAACCAATAAATTATGGCAACATGAGTTGGTGTGCAAGACAGTAGTTCTTGACCTGTAATGTCTGTTCCTTTCCTTTCCCTTAACCTTTATAGCTTACTTGCTTAGTGTAGCCTGTCCTGGCATAGGCAGTATTTATGTGCGCAAAAGCACAGGAAAAGTAAATTTTCAAGTGCAGTAAACACATACTCAAAAAAATGGAGCTAGCTTTTTTCTTTTTAAACTAAATCCCCATTAATTAACTTAAAGGCATGAATTTTTATAATTTGGATAGACCACCTCAGCTACCCAGTTGAAACATCCTAGAGAGAAGAAATGAGAATAAATGTGGTGCCGAATAATTGGTTGCCAAGGCAGCAGCTCCAGGGGGAGCAGGCCTGTGACTTCTGGCTGCTTGGAGCTGTGGCTACACAAAGTGAGGCCAGGTTTGTAAGCAGAGTTAACATCTGCCTCACCAACTGGTAAGTTAGAAGAAGCGAGGTTATTTCCAGAGCTCTTAAACATCTGGATTTAATATCCTGGGGTTTGTTGGGGACCACTGTGGCATTGCTGTGTGACCTGCGGGGTGCAGGGGAGGTAAGCAGAGGCTGCATGAGGATGAATGGAATGTGTTAAGAAATTAGCTTTGCAAGGATGGTTTTCTTTCTTAGCGCCTGTCTTTGAATTCACCCTTTTCATCTGTTTTCCCAGTCCTTTTGTAGCCACAACAAAAGAAAATCTTGTACAGTAACGTGCCTCGGCTCTCTCTCACACTTGCCCTACTCTGTTCTTGATGGGTTGTTCTTTGTCTGAATGTAGAAATTAAAAGATTCTTTTAAATACCTGCAAAAGTATAGTCAATCGTAAATGTCTGTGGTTTGGGGGATTGTTGCATATGTGTTAAGTACATAAGCTAGAGGAAGAGAAGAAAAATTAACAAGTTAGACTGCAACAAAATGCTAGCAATTACTTTATTCTTGTGTGACAACTTGCAGCGAGCTATGGGAAGTCACCCCAGTCCAAAAGTTGGAACCTGCTACCAAACAGTAATCGTGCCTCTTGGGATTTTGTTTTTGTGGGATTTTTGTTGTTAGTGGTGTTTGGGGGGGGGGGGGGCAGGTGCAGGGAGGGGAGCTCAAGAGGCTTCTGTAATTCAGGATATTTGGGAATTTATGAGCATATAAAGACTTTTTATAAAAAAATTTTCTTCGAGTGCCTGAAGTGGTGGGAAGGGAGGACAAGGGTTAGGAAAAGATACTACTAGAAAAACATCACTTGTTGGCAATTGGTTTTCTGTCCTTAAAACCAGCAGGGCTGATCTGCTTTGTAAAGGTTAAAAGCCTCCGTATCAGGGGATCTACTTGAGGAAGGTCTGAGGACTTGAGGAGCTCGTGGAAGAGGCAGATCAGATAAGGAGCTTAAAAGGTGACTGGGATGAAAGATGCTGTCGAGTCAAACGGAGACTGCTGTGCAGTTCCATAATCTGCTCGTGGAGCAGAGAGGTGGTGCAGGGCAAACCACCTGTGTGGGAAAGATCCCTGAATTAAGCAAAAGCCTGTGCAAATCTACCACTAGAGTAATAAGGAGTAATTCTTAGGCAGCCACTGAAACCTAGCTGACAGGAATGTGGTAATGTTGAAATGCTGCTTCAAAACAAACCTTGGCTATGTTAAATAGAACTGGTGTAGTTCCTGATTTATCATCGAGGCTCAATTCAGGTTTTTGATCATTAAGAAAAAAAATTACTTTTTAGAGATTGAAAAATGATAAATGTATCTTGGCTTTATTTCTATGCCCTATCAGTTGCAATTTTGCATGGTGTCCTATTTCTTTTTTTATTGTGTTCTTAGAAAATTTGCTGAGTTTGATTATGTCTCCAGTGATTTAAAACTGATGAGGATCCTGGGTGTTTCTGGCAGCTCTCCAGAAAGCTAGTTTCCAAGCTCTCCAGCAGTAAAGCTTTGTCATTGTACATTCTTATTCAGGACTGATTTAATCACATTTGCTGCTATAGATGTTCTTTGGGCTAGCAGTGTTCCTAGGTCTCTCCCATCCAAGTTCGATGTTTAAGTCCTCCTTACTAATGCAAGTACTTTGTACACGTGGGCGACACTGGTCAGATACTGGGGAAGCGAAGCAGCTCATTGGTCTCACTGGCAGTTAGGACTCAGGGACTAGAGGGAGCAGCAGTTTCCTCCAGGCTCCATCACAAATTCCTGTGGAGCTTACATCCCTTGCAAATTGTGATCATTAATAATAGCTCTCAGAAAGGCACTGCAGCTGCTTGGAATACAAGAATACTTGCTGTTATTTTTATTAGGGTAGACACATCTGCAAAAGAGGAGAAAATGTGCAGTCAGAACTTGGATTTCTCCTCATCCTCACCTTCACTTTCCCTCAAAGTATCTCCACACAGTTGGATTGGTAATTGGATTGGTACTTGCTAAACCGCACTGCTAGCACTGGCTCCAAGACCCTTTCAGCCCCGTAACTGGCAGCTTTGAGATCACTATTGTGTGGCTTTGTTTAGATTACCTCTCCTTACATGCATTATTTTATATTTATCTATGTTGAAACTCATCACCCTTTGCAAGGACCTTTTGAAGTTCCTTGCCAGTGGTGTGGCACTAACTATCCCAGAGAGCCCAGCATCCCTCATAAACGTGGGGTTTCTCCTCTTCGCTCACTTTCCGACCGGGCAGCCGGGACCGAAACAGCCACCGCTTGCTGGGGGGGCGAGAAGCGGAGCAGGGTGCTGCCAGGCCTTGGGCGATGAGAGCGGGGTCTGCCTTTGGCCCTTCCTGGGTTCCATAAGCTGTCCACGGAGCGACTGAAACTGCTGCTGAGAAGACATTGGATGCAAATCAAATGTTCGTGTGCAGGATAACTGTTCTGGTTTTTGTTTCGCTGTGTTTCTACTGGGAATGGAGGTTACCAGGTGTGCTGGTGCATTTCTTTGCCCCTCTCCAGGCTGATTTACAAACTCGGGAAGGCTCGCCAGCCCTTGGCGTAAGCGTGAGGAGCCGGGCAGCGAAGCGACCCTTGGCTGTGCCAGGAACTCTTCCCCAGCTGAGACAGGGAGATCTGCTGTGCGTCTCAAGGACTCCTGCTGCCCGGCGGAGGGAGGCGGGGGACGGGAGGAGAGATAGACACTTCTCACAACAACCTGCAGCCAGTTCTCTCTCCTAACGACCTTGAGACCTTGTTATTACAGTCCTCCCCTGACACTCTGGGAGCAGTCCCTATCTATGTTTTGAGTTCTTCTCCAACAGCCTGGGGATTTTCCAGCGCAGCTGGCATCCCAGCAATGTGTTGATGGCAAAAGTCCATCACCTCCCGAACCTACAAGCAGCGGTACTACGGGAGGCCCTTGGAGCTCTCCCGGACCGCAGCAGGATGGGACCAGCATCTCCCCCTGAGCGGGACGCCTCTCGGAGCTCCCAAACTCTCCTGTCTGTTTGCGAAAATTGGAGGTCTGTCGCCAAAAGCCGACACGGCTGGGGCAGATTCTCTCCACTCCTTGAGGCTCGACCCTTTGCCCGTTGAGAGAAACACCAAAGCATTGACATGAATATTTTCACTGACCTCGAGGGGAATTTTTAACAGGCATACCTCTTTTTCTCTCTCTTTTACTCTCTTATATGTCTTCTCTTAGTGTCTTTATGCACATGCGTGTACTAACCTGAATAGTCTATAATAAGTAAGTTATAGTAAGTACATTATAAGTTATTAGTAAGTTATAGCAAGCATATTATAAGATATTAAGTTATAGCAAGTCCATTATAAGTGATTACTTTCAAATTTATACTTAAATTACTGTCGTGATTTTTATTCAACTGTGAATGGATTTTAGGCTGCTACTATACTCATAATCCCTTTAGATTTAAACTGTTGACCAAGTCTGGGACTAGGAGTTGATCCAGCTGCACCTAGACTCCGACAGGAGTTTAGAAAGCAAGGGGGTCTTCTCTGAACCTCGTGACTTGACGGGAGGGTCTCCCTTACCCTTTCCCACATTCCTTTTTACCCTATTATGTTTTCGGTCCCTATACACATAAGTTTGTTTTGATTCTGGCTTAATTTTCCTGTGTGCATTTCACCCATGTACTAAGTAATAGAGTGAACCTTGCCAATGAAGTCACACTTTTATACAAATTTCTATGAAATAATTTTTCTATCGCTAATACAATTGGAGGTGATTCTTGAAGCGATCTGAATTCTCTCTCATTTTTTAAATTCCCCCCGTGACACCAGGCAAGGTCTGCACTCACGCCAGGAGCCCTGGTGCAGAAATCAGGCCCTGCCCTGGTGCGGGGCTGTGCCACAGCGGTCCATTCTGTGTGCTGCCCTTAGCCCTTGTTCCACCAGAGCTGGAGCTCTTCCCGGCTGTCCTGCTCCTCAGGCGCAGGTCCTGCAGTGCTGCTCTCTAGATTTATAACGTGGAAAAGAGGGGTAAGGACCATGACATTAGGGCCAGCAGTGACAGCCCCAGAGTGCGTGGAGCAAGTCAGCAGCAGAGCCAGCAGTACCTCCCTGTCAGACCCCTCCTGCCCACCAAACCGCCGCCTTTGATTCCTAGCATCTGCAAACCAGGACGGAGAGTCACAGCTTGCGCTGTAACGATATGCAGAGGTGCTGCTGGTCGTAAATCCAGGTCTGCGGATATCTGCCTCCAGCCAAGAAATGCTGTTCCTCCCAGCATGTGAAGGAAATATCATAAATAATGCACGCCGTAAACACGGTGCGTGTCCCTGCGTGCGAGGTGCAGCCCTGTTGCAAAGCTTTCCCACTGTGCCCTGGCAGAGGCAGAATTTAAGCTTTGAAAAGCCTGTTCTATCTCTTAGAGAAGATTTCAGTTGACAGAGCAAAAACATGCCCATCGCAGTAAATAGCGATTTAGGCTTTTTTTTTTTTTCCTGGTGCGCTGGGCCGGACCAACACGCATTTCACTTGGGAGCACAGGCAAAGCACCAGCGCGCAACCCCAGCTCTGCCAGCCCGGCTCCCGGCTCAGACCATGAGCCCTGCTCACCGCGCAGGAGTCACCACAGCCACCGAGGGCGAGGGACTGCGCTTCCCCTGCGCCGGTTTTGTCGCTGTAATTTTATCAGCTTTTTTAAAGCGAATACCATCTTCTGGGTAACAATTTTCCTGTGGTTGTTTTGAGGGTGTGCCAGCGCAGCAGGAGGTGATGCTGGGCGCTGGCACAGCCAGCGCTGCCCACTGCCAGCACCGTCTGCTCCACCGAGCGCTCAGGACCGGTTCAAGCGCTCAGGACAGGTTTGGAGCTGGTGTGGCCCCACAGGATGAGCTGCTCTGGCTTTAGCCAGACACGCCGACCGCCCTCATGCGTGTCTTCCCACGAAACCCCAGGTGAAAACACCCCCCAGTCACATGCATAGATGAACTCCAGGCCGTTGTCGTACGCTGTGCACAGCATCTGCGTATTGATGCGGACTCACAGAGTGGGATTGCTGCGTTTGAACTGTACGTCCATGTCCCCGCGCTACCAACAAGGGCCATGTCCTTCCCTTTCCAGACGGGGTAATCTCCAGCCCTAAAGCTTCAGGACTATCCACAGAGGGGGACTAACGCAGGTAACGGGCCGTGGGGACAGGCATTGGAGGAGCAGAGAACTACTAGAGGCAAACTAAGGGGTCAGTGTCACAGTGCAGGGGGGAATGAGAGGGAGGGAGGTACGGATCACTTAAAGAATCACCTCCAATTGTATTAGCAATAGAAAAATTATTTAATAGACATTTATATAAAAGTGTGACTTCACAGAATTCGATGGCAAGGTTCACTCTATTACTTAGTACATGGATGAAATGCACACAAGAAAATTAAATCAGAATCAAACTAAACTTATGTATACAAGGACCGAAATGCAATAGTGTAAAAGGGAATGTGGGTGTCGTGGTTTAACTCCAGCCAGCAACTAAGCACCATGCAGCCGCTCACTCCTTTCCACCCAGTGGGATGGGGGAGAGAATCAGGGAGGGAAAAAACCTAAAACTCATGGGTTGAGATAAGAACAGTTTAATAGAAAGGAAGAAATTAATAATCATAATAATAACAATAATAAAATGACAATAATAATAATAATAAAAGGATTGGAATATACAAGTGCTGCACAATGCAATTGCTCACTACCTGCCTACCATCACCCAGTTATTTCCCAAGCACCGATCCCCCCAACCCCACTCCTCCCAGTTTATATACTGGGCATGATGCCATATGGTATGCAATACCCCTTTGGCCAGTTTGGGTCACTGCCCTGGCTGTGTCCCCTCCCAACTTGTTGTGCCCCTCCAGCCTTCTCGCTGGCTGGGCATGAGAAGCTGAAAAATCCTTGACTTAGTCTAAACATGACTTAGCAACAACTGAAAAATATCAAGTGTGTTATCAACATTCTTCTCATACTGAACCCAAAACATAGCACTGTGCCAGCTACTAGGAAGACAATGAGCTCTATCCTAGCTGAAACCAGGACAGTGGGAAAAGGTAAGGAAGACCCTCCCATTGAGTCACGAGGTTCAGAGAAAACCCCCTTGCTTTCTAAACTCCTGTCGGAGTCTAGGTGCAGCTGGATCAACTCCTAGTCCCAGACTTGGTCAACAGTTTATATCTAAAGGGATTATGAGTATAGTAGCAGCCTAAAATCCATTCATGGTTGAATAAATTAATGACAGTAATTTAAGTGTAAATTTTATAGTATTAACTTGTATCTTATAATATACTTGCTATAACTGACTTACTATAGATTATTCAGGTTAGTACACGCATGTGCATAAAGACACTAAGAGAAGACATATAAGAGAGTAAAAGAGAGAGAAAAAGAGGTATGCCTGTTAAAAATTCCCCTCAGGGTCAGTGAAAAGGTTCACACCAAATGCTTTGGTGTTTCTCTCAACAGGCGAAGGGTCGAGCCTCAAGGAGTGGAGAGAATCTGCCCCAGCCGTGTCGGCTTTCGGCGACAGACTTCCAATTTTCGCAAACAAACAGGAGAGTTTGGGAGCTCCGAGAGGCGTCCTGCTCGGGGGGAGATGCTGGTCCCATCCTGCTGCAGTCCAGGAGAGCTCTAAGGGCCTCCCGTAGTACGGCTGCTTGTAGGTTCAGGAGGTGATGGACTTTTGCCATCAACAAATTGCTGGGATGCCAGCTGCGCTGATACCATTTCACATGCAGATAAGGGAAACTCTGAGACTGAGAAGAACTCCAAACACAGATAGGGGCTGCTCCCAGCCTGTCGGGGGAGGACTGTACTAACAAGGTCTCAAGGTCGTTAGGAGAGAGAACTGGCTGCAGGTTGTTGTGAGAAGTGTCCATCTCTCCTCCCGTCCCCCGCCTCCCTCCGCCGGGCAGCAGGAGTCCTTGAGACGCACAGCAGATCTCCCTGTCTCAGCTGGGGAAGAGTTCCTGGCACAGCCAAGGGTCGCTTCGCTGCCCGGCTCCTCACGCTTACGCCAAGGGCTGGCGAGCCTTCCCGAGTCCATACATCAGCCCGCAGAGGGGCAAAGAAAGGCACCACCACAGTCGTATGATGGAAGAGGCCATGGGTTAACGTCCCCTGGAAGAGGCAGGCTGGGATCGCACCTGGGTCTTCATGAAGCAGGGAAGGAGGGACAAGGATGGCTGTAGTTGAGGATCCTAGGTTGTCTGCAAGAGCTGACCAAGATCTGAGGCAGTGGATGAGGTTCTCTTCCGATACAGCCCCCTGGATTTAGAAAACAATTTTAAATTTTTTCTTTAAAGGATCTGCGGCTTCTTTAGAGCCTAACTGTGCAAACCTAAGAGACACCCAAGTATGTATTTTATGTCACGTGCACGTTTGCAAAGAAAACCTTCAAAACGTAACCCGGGCACAACCCCGGCCAGCAATGCCGTTACGAGTTTAGCTTCAAGAAACGGGATATCGGGGTCTTTTGTTTGTTTCCACCGTGGGGTGCTCGATCTCCCATTTCTGAGCCCTCCGTCCTGTGGTAACGGTCGCGCAGGGGCTGTGGCGGACGGCCGGGGGAGAGCAACCCCAGGGGCTCCCCCTACGGGC